TATATGGATAAAGATAATACATAATAGTTTTAATTCTCATGAAAATAAAGTTTAACTAATAAAAAGTTCATTTTAAAACTCAAAATACGTTTTTTAACGTTTTAAGCATAAATTCAAACTATAAAGTGTTTTAAGGAATAATTATTTTTAAAATACATTGCCACAGCCCCGTGATTTTTTAAAATATCATTTGCTTCATTACAAAAGAGTAAACGTATAATGCTTCGTGTATTTTTATTAATTGAAGGTTTACTTTTTACTAATTCCGAATTTTAAAAAATGCATATGACTTATTAACGCTTTGTGCAATTCGATAAAAATTGGATATGGAATAAAAGTTTAATGTGAAGGATCTATAAAGCAGGTATTTTCCCCCTTCTTATCAGCGTTTTTTTTAATTCCTATATGTGATAATAAACATTTATATATATATATAGTTATTACTTTTAATGTTGAAAAATATAAAATAACTTGTTCAAGAAAATAAACTTTTTTAACTGGGCAATTTTACACAGTTATCACTCACAAAGTATAAAAAGTAATATAATTATTGAATAGAAAATAATAGATTTTGTTGCATCTGAAAACTTAATTTAATTCAGATTCAAAAGAAACGTAGTAAATAAACTTTTATTTAAATATTTTAACAGGTTGTGAATAAACAGATACGCTTGAAGATTAAATATACTCTGAAACAGAGACTGGGGAATGTCTCACATTATGCAGAAAGTTTTCATATTACAACCGTTCTAATATATTGTGGATCAACCTAAATAAAGTACTTAATAATATCTCTCATAAAGTAGTATTATTTATTAACTGTAAGTTTTGAATTTAATTAATTTAATTAAAATTTTAAACTAACCAAGTAAAATCTGCGACATACCCATGAAATGTGAAGTTTTAATAAGCTGGAGAAGCATATTTTAATATTTGCAAAGACGCCTCACGTAAAGATAATTTACAGACATTTCCTTTTATTAGAAAACAAAAATGCACTTTAAAACAGAAAGTACTTTAATAAATTGTGAAGGAGTATTTATTTCTGATTTCATAAATGACTGGCGACATCGGATAGCAGGCTAAACAATTTATGGTGAGTATCATGCCTGTTAAAATGATGAATGAAACGGTTTAAGGAAATATTATACTTTGGAAACTGCTAGTCATATAGATTGCGGAAAGTTTCTCATTTTCTAGAATATCCCTCAAATTTCAATAAGTGGAAAAAGAAGATTGAAACAAAAATATTTCCTCGAATTTTATTATTTTTTACTTATTATAAGTTTGAAGAATATGATGTTCTTTGATCACACTGTAACTCAGATGATGAACAAGGAAACTCAATACGGTCCTCTTGCATTTCCAGCTTTTAAAATGTTATCCCTTTTAGTCACAAATTTTACAAAAATTACAAAATATAGGGTGTTTTTTTAGAGGTATAGAACTTTAAATTGCAATAAAACAACGATGTATTATTCGATTGACATGAATTTTTTTTATTCGAAAGATAATCTTGTGGCATTACATTTTAAATATGATTTCTGGCATATGACTGCCACGGCTGGCTCGGATGTAGTCCAATCTGGACGTCCAATTTTCGATGACTTTTTCCAACATTTGTGGCCGTATATCGGCAATAACACGGCGAATGTTGTCTTCCAAATGGTCAAGCGTTTCTGGCTTATCCACATAGACCAATGACTTTACATAGCCCCACAGAAAATAGTCTAGTGGTGTTAAATCACAAGATCTTGGAGGCCAATTCACAGGTCCGAAACGTGAAATTAGGCGGTCACCAAACGTGTCTTTCAATAAATCGATTGTGGCACGAGCTGTGTGACATGTTGCGCCGTCTTGTTGGAACCACAGCTCCTGGACATCATGATTGTTCAATTCAGGAATGAAAAAGTTAGTAATCATGGCTCTATACCGATCACCATTAACTGTAACGTTGTGGCCTTCATCGTTTTTGAAGAAGTACGGACCAATGATTCCACCAGCCCATAAAGCGCACCAAACAATCAGTTTTTCTGGATGTAACGGTGTTTCGACATACACTTGTGGATTAGCTTCACTCCAAATGCGGCAGTTTTCTTTGTTGACGTAGCCATTCAACCAGAAGTGCGCTTCATCGCTAAACAAAATTCACTTATGAAAATTGGGAACAACGGCAATCTCGTTTTGGGCCCATTCGACGAATCTACGCCTTGCTTGATGATCGTTTTGATGAATTGCCAAACCAAACTGAGAATAAATCACTTGACAGCTGTTAAATCGGTCACTATCTTGGAAAGTAATGCCAACTTAAACTTCTATACCTGGAAAAAAAACACTCTTTATATGTAATATAAGGATAGAGTAACTAGAGAAATTGGATAAATATATTTTTATAAGATTCCGTATCTATAAAATGACTGAAACCAGGAAAACTAAAACTTTATTCAGTTTCAATATATACAGGGCGATTCGCTAGCAGAAACTAACAAACTTGCCGGCTGTGTAAAGGGTACAGAGACAACTCGGAATCATATTGGAATGCAGGGTCGTAATGCCGTAGTTTCGAGCTATGGTGCAAATAACCAGAGTAAAAGAACTGAAACAGTAACACGTTAATGGGACAGAAACTATTTTCTTGAAAGGTTGTACTATTACAGATGTTTGAAATTACGCGAACAGAAGTCGTCTGGCAGGCCTGGTATAGTCAGCAGTCACAAATGACGACTTCCAGCGGAATCGGTGTTCACGAAGCCTTCCGTTCAGTGGCATCAACCACAAGACTGCAGGGAGGAATCTTCCAGAGCCTAAGAAAATTCAATTTAGCATCATTGTCAGGCTTACCAGACGACTTGTGGTTATAATTTCGAAAGCCTGTGGCAATAGACTTTTCAATAAAACATTTTATGGTCTATTGATGTGTTTCTGTTCCTATTCCTTTTCTTTGCTTCTTTGCACCAAAGCTCTCAACTACCGCATTTGTGACCTTGCATTTCTATGTGATTCCGAGTCGTCTCTCTACCTCTTACAGATCCTGCAAGTTTGTCGGTCTGGTAGCGAATCACCCTCTATATACACTCTTTTGCAAAAAAATCGAAGCATCATAAAGGAAGAGGTTTTTTTTTATGAAATTAAATATGCGTACAGCTCAAACACAGATAATAATATGATAAAAAGTGTGTGTGTGTGTACTTATGTTCTCACGTAAGAAGTTATACTTCTTTGGAGTAACAAGATTAAAATATTTCTAAAAATCTTGAGCAGAGCAAGCTGCGCCAAGGACGAAAGGAGGTCACGAGCAGAGTTGAACGATACTAACCTTCAGTCAATCGGACCAGCCAAAACCGAGATAATCATGATTTAAATAAATTTAAACACCCCCGCACAGGGACAATAGAACCAATAACATGGGGGGGGGGGTTCGGCAGACTATACCTGGAGATGAGTTGAATCGAATGTGACACCTGAAACCTCACATTGAATGTCTTGGCGGGAAGAATCGTTCCTGAGAAAATTAAGACATCTGCCTGAAGAGTCCCCAAGTCATGGTCATTTTAAAATAATTAAAACATTTAAAGCAATTAAATAAAATAGAAGCAGGTCACCCAGTAACTCGAAACTGGGCCTGGTTGTGAGGAAACACAAAAGGAATACATTCGATCCAGTCCAGAGTCTGTAGTTGCAAATGGGGCGGTGCTAGCTCAAGAAAAGTAAATTAAAGTAACTCTCCCGGGTAGGGGAAACTGTGACGTAAATGATCACGTAGATCCCAACGATACACATAGTAGAAGGTGATCCCAAAGTTTCAGCTTTCGATCCCTGTAATATCGTTACGTCATCAAAAGATTGAACCCCATAGGAATAACATGGGGATTCTAATTTTAGTGATAACGCCCCCCTATGCCCACTATCTACACACGAATTATAACAGATGAAACAACTCAACAAGGAGAACCTATGGTCCGAGTTTCATTAACGCATCTCAAAAATCCTCGGAGCTATGCGGGATTTAAAAAAATTATAACTTTAAAATAATTTTAAAATGTTAAATATGGGTGAAGAAATGGGGCTATGGTCCTGAAAAAATATATCTAGGGTGCTCATAGGAAGAATAATCGAATCCAGCCGGGGCAGTCTAACCAAGGTGGCATAGGATTCAAGTTATTTCCGGGGAAGCCCTGTAGGTGGGGGGGAGGGAGCCAATTCCCCACGTAAAGCTCGAGCTAATACGAAAATATGGCGGACCACTAAAAATCAAGTTCCAAGCTCAATTGCTTAGGGGGAGGGTGAAATTTTTTCCATCCCTCATAGGATTGACACGGGAGCATGATATTTTAGTGCTTAAGACCTCCCTCTTACACAATGGGAATGAAGTAGATGACTGGATGGGTCTCAACGAGTGGAACAGTTGATTTGAATCTCAATTCCGAGATTTGAACAGGAGCCGAGATATTGTGAATTTAAACAAATTAAAAAAGTTTGACAATTAAAAACTATGGAAGAAATAGCGCTATGATCACAACACACACACATGAAATTATAATAACTGGAAGAGTAGATATAGAGGGATCGAATGAGCCAGGTCCGAATGGACGGTGAGGCTCGGGTGCCGAGATATTGGCCAAAAAGCTGTATAGGGAGGGAATGCACAGGGGGGATGCGTCCCAACAGATATGGTTTATAACAGTAGTTTCTATGATCCCCAAAATATCAGTCCCATAGCACCAAAAAAGTGGCATGTTAAAATGTTATACAACGGTTTGCGTGCGCATTGGTGTCGTGAAGGTATGCACGTGCATCCGTGACGGTGTGAGCGCGCGTCGTAAAAATTTACCCTCATCCTTTTTCCCTAACTCCCAAAAAGAAGCATAACTAATTTAGTATAGAAGTACTTTTTTGAGAATTTCGATGGCGGTAAAATGATCTGTCCCATTCTGTATATTTCTAGGCGAAGCATTTTCGTATCCCTTCCTACGGAACGCAAAGCAAAGATTCGCTGACGCGGGGTTATAGCTCAGTGGTAGAGAATTCAACTGCAGATCGAGAGATCCCAATTCAAAATTGGGTGCCCCCCTTCTTCAGGGAAGTGAAGAGAAATATTTTTCTGAGAATTTCGAAGGCGGGTATGATCTGTCCCATTCTGTATATTTCTAGACAAAGCATGTTCGCACCCGTGACGGTGAGCGCGCGCGCAACGTAAAAATTTATCCTCGTCCTTCTTCCCAAACGCCCAATAAGAAGTATAACTTCAAAAAAATCAAGGTCATAGTATCTATCCACGGCTCACGATTACAGCTTGAATTTTCAAATTAGTAGTTGGTGGAACCACTCCTGGTGGTGATACATGTTTGTATACTCCTCGGTAAAGAGTTATAGAGGTTTCCGATGTTATCCTGCGATACATTTTGCCAGGCATTCCCTAGTTGTCACTTCAGATCTACGACATTTTGGGGTGCCTGAATCTGGCACCCAATCACGAACATGTGCGATTGGTGAAAAGTCTGGTGACTTTGCTAACCAAGGAACGTGGTGACTAAGGTGACTTTGCTAGCACGAAGGTAGTCCAGAGATATGGCAGCGGTATGGATCCTGGAATTTCCTTGTTGGAAACTGTTCCCCGGATGACGGGCCATTAAGGGTAATACAACCAGCCGCAGGATGGTATCAACACATCATTGAGCTGTTTAAGTTGTATAGAGGATGACTAGAGATGACCTTCTGCTGTATGAGGTAGCACCTCACACTAGGAATAATGGCTGCATGGTTTTGTACAAAAAAAGCTGCATGAGACCGTTAGCCCCGGCCTTTCCAGACGTGAAGATAATGGTCATCTGCTTCAAGAGTAAAGCAGGATTCTTCGCTGAACATTATGCGATGCTAGTCTGATGGCAACTATGATGATTGACTGCGACACCAATGCAGACGATTCCGTCGATGTTTTGGGGTCAAAGGCAACGTCTTAAAGTCCGATGTGAGCGTACACTGACTCAACCAAACTTCGTGAAATAGTAGAAGGTACCACGGGGATTTGGAAGAGGCTGTAATACGTTCAATAGTAGACAATGATACCGTTAGAGCAATTCGGATGTACCAAAAATTAATCCGATCTTTGTGCATCTTGGCCTTACAGAACCTTTATTTCGCCGATAAGTTCTTCGCAGCAACTATTGCTGCCATCACCTTTGCACAGCTGTGTCTGTACGTTGCAGTTGATGACCTGTTGCTCGGTATGACCACTCAGCTTCAGGCATTCGAACAATGTGACTACGTGGGAAGTCATTCAGTTGCCTATAAGGTCTTATAAGACATTGAGAGGGCATCATTCATTTTTTTCTAGGGAATCACAACAGCGAAAACGGAAAAAGATAAATTTTCCGCCTCTATTATTAGTTTTAAACTTAGCGAGTTGCTCAGCAGAAATGCAAGCTACGACTGCAATTCATGTTCATTGGCCTTGAACATTCGATCATTTATTTGTTCGATCAAGATGTCTTTGCCTACAAAATTTCATCACAATCGGACAACCCCTTCTTGGTGCTTCGATTTTTTTGCAAAATTTTATGATATAAAATTACGGTACTTCATTTAATTAAATAATATATATAAAACAATGTTGATTATGAATCAAAAATATCTAAGAAAAATGATTTTAGTTCGGAAAAAAATTTTATTGCACACAATGCAGAGGAACTTTATTTTTTAAAATTCATGTGTTACACTACTTAACACGACAAACGTTTTTAACAAGTAAAAATATTTATTTATCCTTCCCTATGCAATCGTTTAAGGATTTTCTAGGTCTTTTTTATATGGGTTCTGTATTTCTAAATCTCAGTGCAATTGTTTATTGTTCACGTCAAAAGAAATTTGTGCGTCAAAAAATTTTTAAGTTGCATTCAGCTATTGAATCTCTTTTCCGTACAAAAACAATAAACGTAAAAATATTTGCAGTTTTAGAAGAATTGGCAGTTAAAACTTTGAGACGAGTCCCTTGTTAACAGAAACAACATTTTTTGAACAAGGAGGCTAGGAGGCCCTTATTTTGCTTATGCTGTTTCATACTTTAAATTCTATTTGAAATATTGTTTTTCAAATGCTATAATGGAAGAAGAACACTTCACTTAAAATTTTTTAAATCTAGAGAAGTATACAAATGCTGTATATAATTTACATTTTTCTATATGCGAACTAAAAGGTCATTGTGACGCGCAATTATATTGCATCGCGCAAATTTGACAGCCTTTTCGTAAAGATTACTTTAATGTGCTCCCATAGTGTTGATGATTCGTGTAAACACTATATAAGTCCAATAAACAATGAAATATTAGCTTTTCGTCATCGCACACATTGTATAAAATCCAGCTGTAGAATTAAGAATAACTACGATTAAACTGCTATTTTCAGTATTTGCTTCAAACATTCATTTTTCACTATCCAAATGTTTGAATAAAATTGTTAACTATATAAAAGGCATATATTTAAGCTTCTGCTTGAAAACAATTTTATTTTCTTTATCAGCCATTTTTTTCTAAGAAATATAAGAAACAATGGTTTAAAGGGTTAATAATTGTACTTTTTTGTAAGATTACTCGGTTTAATTTCCTCAATAATACCTTTTAAGTTAAAATTTCTTAATTGTATTGTTAAGGGAATTATATACAGTTAAAGAAATAATAACATAAGGAGAGAAAAAAAGGAAAAGTTTATGCAATAAATATCTCATCTTTCAAGAGATTTTCGTAAATAATTTTAAGTAAACATTTTTCAATTTTCGAATTAGAACAGATAATACAGAAAAATTAAAAATGTAATGTTAAACTGATAGAATTCTTATTTACTACAAATAAATAGTGTATCATTTCTCAAAAAAAAAAAAGATTTGATCAAATCTATTGAGGGAAACGTACCAAAATACAAAATGTAAATGCAAGCCTGAAACTAAGTAAATATAATTAAATGTGTTTATTGTTTGCCATATTATAAAAGGTGTAATCAGCTATAATTTGTATCGCGAATATTCTGAAAGCGTTTTAGAAGTTTACAATTAATTAAAAGCATATATATCTAAGAGTTCAGTAAAAAAAGTTTAAATCAGCCAATTTTTCGAATGTATGAGATGTTCCTTATTCTGTAGATTTCCTTAAGGAACTTTAACTTTATTTTAATTTTAAATTTGCCAAATATTTCGTTTTTTAAATTAAATTACTGGGATTAAAATGTCCAAAAATAGGATACTACATGTTATCCAAATGTAAACTTGTGTTTTAAAAATTTAAGATAAAATATCTCGAAATTTCTTTTTAATTTGTTTTACATATTAGACATTTAAAAACAAATATTTTCGTTGCGTTTCAAAATCTCTTAATATATTTAGCTCAATGAACATTTGCAAGTATGAAAAATATATTTCTCATCTCCTTCTTTTCTTTATTTCTCTTCCATTGTATGCAAAACATCAGATAAATTCTTGTTGTCATGAACATTAAATTCTTCTTTAAAACTCAATTAATTACTGAAATTTTCCTTCCGGTACAAGTATGTTGTTATTCTAAGAAAATTCTTTTTTAGTTAGATACATAAACATTTTCTTGCAAAATTTTTAACTAGAACTTCTGCCTTTTGAATTCTACCTCATTAAATCAAAAAAGTTGCTTGCAACATTTTAATGATTTGTATATTAAATATCATGGCGTTTTGAGAATGATAAATATATAAATTCAAAACGAAACGAAGTACATTTTTTATACAGAAATAATTAATTCTATACAATTTTAAGTCTTAAGGAAGGATGATTTTTCATATAACATATGTTTTAAATTATTTTTAAATTGGAGAACACGCAAAATGTATATTTTTTGTACAATGATGAGAATTTTTATTTTTCAGGTCTAAATATCCGAACATAAATCTATGTATCAATATAAATAGACAAATATATATAACTCTAATAAACAACATATAGTACAACATACACAATTTCAAGTATTGGAAAATAATTTGTGGGCAAATACAGTTTCGTGAACCTACCATATAAATATCACGATCAATTGAAAAAGTTAAATTCTTTTTTTTATTTGACAGCATTTTCTTTAGAAAGCAAAAACCAATCTGTTATTCTATCCACTTTTTATAGGTAAACAAATTGAATAAAAATGTATAATTTTGTTATGCCGAAGCTAAAAGCAATATTCTCTAAATTCTTAAAGAATAACATAAAGTTTTATAACCCTAATTTGAATGTCTATTTCTCTAAAATTAAGCACACAGCTAAACACATATACATATATAGATCCTCATTTTATAATCTAACATTTAAATCATACACTTTTTTGTGTGCATTTTTGAAGATATTTTTACGTATATGCATTTTCTCTCATTCTTGTTTTTATCAGTCCTTCTCAAATTTTCAATATTTATTCCCAATATTCAATCATCTAATATATATATAATAAATGCGGAAGTTTGTGAGAATCTTTGTGGGTCTTTCACGCAAAAACAACTGAATGGATTTTAATGAAACTTTACAGTAATATAGCTTATACATCAGAATAACACATATGCTAAAATTTATAAAGATATTGTGAGAAGTTTTCAAAATATAATGACAATTGTCAAGAAAGTAGGAAAAAATTCTGCCATTTGCAAAAAAGCCCGTGACAGCATTCATCTATCTTTTTTATTCCTTCTGTTTTGTCTACGCCATCCCTCAGTGCGCTTTCGCTTTTCATCGATTCCGTTCATCAGTGTCGTCACTATTTTTATTTCATAATAAAACTAGATTTCGAAGGGAGATTTTAACGTAAAATAAATACAACAAAAAGTAATATTAATGTATTACACTTCCTGATATAAATTATTTACACTATTTTAAGCGTACATTACACAAAATTTGTAACTATGGCAGTGGAAGGAAAACTATGAAATTAAAATAAAATATCAAAATGTTTTTTATCATTTACTTTTTTTTACATTTCAGAGACATTTTTAAGCTAACTAAAGAATCGTTTTCTTTTTATTGCTTCACATTAATAATTTTTTAACTAATGCAATGTTGTTTTTTAAAAGTCATAGATC